GCCTTTTATAAGTAAATATTTGGGAAGGATTAGACAGAGCAAAACACCACGGTTAGCTAGACCAAGTACATTCTACATTGATGAAGCTTTTGGCTTCCTTTGAAGGGTGGGGGGGAGAGAGGGGAGCTTACTCTTTTTGAGAGGAAAGGGATGAAAAAGGAAAAGAGAAGAGGAGAGATGGTGCAATGGGAAGAAGGGAGGAGGAAAAGGAGGAGAGAAAATAGTGAGAAAGGCGGAGGGGGAGCGAGAAAAATATGCATGCATTAAGTCATTGTATTAATGATAATGAAATGATAGAAGCAGATGGAGAGAAGAGAGAGATAGGTGTCCATAGCTTTTTTTTTTTTTTTTTTTTTTTTTTTTTTTTTTTTAGAGGGAGATAGACAGACAGATTTCAGAACAGACATAGAGGAGGAAAGAGACAGAAAAAAAGAAACGAGAAGAGAGTAAATTGGGGTGGGGGAAAAAAAACCAGCAGGACATGATGTGAATTGGGGAAAGAGAGAGAGAGTTAGTTGAGAGAGAAGGAGAGAGATGAGAGAGAGACTGGAAAGACAGAACATACCAGACAGGCAAACAAAGCAAACAGACAGGACAAATCAACCAACCAAATCAAAAAAATATAAGAAATGCAATTACTTAACCCAACAGACCCTACGAACAAAGACAACGATAAAAAGCAATAAAACCCCGCCTAGGACCTAGATAGGAGGAACAATTGAACCAGGATCACAAGACGGGGTCGGTGCAAGGAAATGAGTCTATTTTTGTTTGTTTGTTTGTTGGTTATTGTTATTTTTCATTAGAATGATTCGCCGTTATTGCTTTGATTACTTGTGTTATCATTATTATTTTTACTGATTTTATTATCTTATTATTATTATTGTCGTTAGTATTTTTTTTTTTCATTATTGTAGGTAGATATTGATAATACTTGCTGGTTAATAGTAATCTAATAATAATAATATAATAATCAAACATATCATTATATCATTCAACGTTAATATCAGTATCAATATTAGTTATTATTATCATTATTATGATTATATGATGTATTATTTCAATTTATTATTATTATTATTATTTTATCATTGATTATTATTTTTTTATCATCATCATTTCATCATTATTTTTTTTATTCTCATTATTGTTATTATGTTAATATGATTAATATACTATTATTATTATCTTAATTATTTATCATGATTATTAATCAATTATCATTCATTATCATCATAAGAATTTTTGTCATGATCATCCCAGAATTGAGTATCATATCAAGTCTTATTCAATTACTATTATTCTAACTACCCTATTGATATTCTCAGTTTGATTTTCATTACTATTATTATATCTCTTTATGTTATCATAATTACTGACCACGGTTATCATCATCATTATCATGATTCATTATCTTCCATATCCCCTTTGATGATTAGCATTCGGCCAAGATCAATAGTATTATTAGCATTATTATCCTCATTTAATACAATTACGCTAATTCTATATAAAATTATACTTTTCACCCCTCTTATTTAAAAATCAGTTGTTGTTATGATTCTAAAAAACATGATTATTATCTCTTGCTTCAGTTCTCATGTGCCTGCCAGGTCAATATCCCATTCATTCACGCACAAACAGCCAAAATTAATTTTTTTCTTTTGTTGTTGTTTTCTGCCTCTGACAAGCTCTATCGAACACGACAGAACAATCATTGTTCTTTGGCCCATGAGGAGAACAATAAACACACAGCAGCTGTATAACACAATAGCTATCGCAGTTTATTCCCGTTTGTCTACATAGTTTATGTGTGTACATTGCTGCACATACATATACACTTATACACACAAAAACACAACCACATATAATATATATATGAGATATATATATATCTATATATATGAGATATATAATATGATATATATAGTATATAATATATATTATACAGTATTATATATATATTATCTATATATATATATATACATATATATATTGAATATATATATATATATATATATATATATATATAATATGATATACATAATATATATGTTATATATTTATACATATTTTTCATATAGAAAGAGATTGGGGGAAGCCGGGAAGTATACATGAATATAGACAGATATAGACATAGATATAGATATATAATGAAAAATATCTCCTATTTCGATGTTGTAAAAAAAAAAAACGGGGGGGTGGGTGGTGGGTAACAACGTATATACAATATATTCTTTTTCATCTCTTTCGTAAACAAGCCGGAGTACCGCTTGCATCTCATGACTATTTCTCTCTGCTCAAGAAGAAACGATGAGAGACTCATGTTCATTTTAACTTCATGCTGCAAGAGAGAACGGAAATGTTTAGCGACATGGTCATAAAATTGTCTTGATTGATTACCACAGTGCAGTTGCCAATACCGATGTACTTTTCATGTTTCCTCTCGGTATGTTATGGTGCGAGTTGCTTGTCGTTGGAAAATTAGCTTGTGGTTGTTAAATATATATATATATATATTATATATATATATGATATTATATATATATATATATATATATAATATATATATATATGTATATATATATCTATTAGATCATATATTATATATATGTGGTGTGTGGTGTGGTGTGTGTGTTGTGTGTGGTTGTGTGTGTGTGTGCTTGTTTGTGTGTGTGGGTGTGTGTGTGTGTCTGGTGTATGGATAGTATGTATGATGTGTATATGTATATATATATATATAATAGGTATGTATTATATATATATATATATAGATAAGTATATATATATATATATAATATATATATATCGATATATATATATATATGTATGCTTGTGGGTGGCAATTTAGCTTGCTGGTTGCAAATATATATATATATAGATATATATATATATATATATTATACTATATATATATTATAGATATTATTATGTGTGTGTCTGTGTGTGTGTGTGTGTGTGTGCGGTGTGTGTGTGTGTAGGGATCTATGTATATGTATATAGGTAATATATACATGATGATATATAGATATATAGTATAGTATAATATTATATATATAGTAACTACCGCCCCCTTGCTTACCCCTCTCCCCTTCACCCCTCCCTTCTATCTCCTCCCCCTCCCCTCACCCTTCCTTACACCCCTTACCCCCCCCCCACCCGTTTGATCCAGTACAGGAAGGAACGAGTTTTCAGAATACAAAAGTAATTCCGGGTTCATTCTCTTTCTTCAGGGAGCACGAGGAGGAGGAGTAGGAGAAGCGAATGATGAGGAGAGTGGAGAGAGAGAGAGGGGAGAGAGAGAGAGAGAGACAGACAGACAGACAGACAGGAGGAAAATGGGGTGTTGTGAAAGAGGAGAGAGAGAGAGAGCGGGAGGATGATAGATAAAGAGACAGAGAGAGTATGTGTGTATGTGAAAGAGAGAGAGAGAGAGAGAGAGAGAGGGGGGGGGAGGGGAGAGGGGAGAGTAAGGGGAGGGAAAAGGAGGGAAGGGAGGAGCGAGATAGAGAGAGAAAGGAGTGGAGAGACTTGTAGACAAGCAGACAGATAGATGGGATAGAAAGAGACTCTAAAGAGAAAGATAAGAAAAAAAAGGGTTGAACGGAAAGCGCAGGTCTGGATACTGTACAACAAAGAGGAGAGAGAAAGAGAAGGAGAGAGAGCGAGGGGGGCGGGAAGGAGCGAGGGGATGAGAGAGACATAGATAGATAGAAGAGACAGAGGCCAGCAGAGGACAGAGACACAGAGAGGGAGATGAAAGAGGAAAAGGGAGAGAAGTCGAAAGAGGGAGAGGAAGAGGGGGAGAAAACGGAAGAAGGAAGGAGACAGAGAGTGGGGAGGGGGAGGGGGGAGGGGCATGGAGGAGGAGGAAAATTAAAAAACCTGCACGTGTTTCGCTTTTGTGATGTAGTGCTTTGTCAAACAATCCTTAAAATTGTGTTTCATCTCAAAGAAACCCTCGCCTGGATATCCTGAGACGATATTTCCTTTTCTTGTTATTTGTAGTTTGTTTTTTTTTTTTTCATGTCTCATTTAATCTCTCTCTTTTGTTCTCTCTCTTTCTGGTCTTTTTTTTTTTCTTTTTCTTTTTTTTTGATGTGACATTCTCTGAGCCGTGATACTGTGATAGGTACCGAGAGAGAGAGGAGAGGGGAGACCGAGAGAGAGAGAGAAGAGACAGGACAGGCAGAGCCAGAGCCAGAGAGCCAGAGAAGACAGAGCCCACACAGGAGACACAGCGGAAGGAAGATGAGAGAGACACACAGAAAGAAAGAGAGAAGAGACAGGCTTGACAGAGCGGGAGAGACAGAGAGGAAACAGAGAGAGAGAGAGGCAGAGAGAGACACACAGAACAGGAGACCGAGGAGAGATGGCGAGGAGAGAAAGAGGAGAAGAGGTGGCGAGAAGATAGGAGTGAGAACATGAGAGGGGAGCAGGAGGAAAGCGAGGAGAAGAGAGGAGAGAGAGAGCGAAGCAAAAGAAACGAATGTTAGCTTCTGATGCGATGTCATTACTCCATCCTTAACAATGAGGGAGACTTGCGTGTTGGGCAGACCTGTTTTACACACGAAAATGCTTTTTTCTCTGCATATTTTCAAACGTATCTGTTCCTATAAAGCCGTTGTGTGTGGCAGGAACGAAACGATGGGGGCATGGAGAATGGATGAGACGAGTGGAGAATAGAAGGGGAAGGATGAGGGGGGGGAGAGGAAAGGTGAGAGAGAGAGAGAGAGAGCGAGAGAGGAAGGAGAGGAGAGGAGAGGAGAGTAGTAGGAGAGCGCAGAAGAGAGAGAGGTGGGGCAGACCAGGACAGGCAGAGCGGGAGTACAGACAACAGGAGCGAGCGCAAAAAAGCCAGGACGAACCAGAGAAAGATAACGGGGACCAGGGCCGCCGGAACGGCACGGGGCTCGCCGCATGCTCAAGCCTCCCGCGCGAGTGCACGCACTGCACTCCTGACTCCCACCCGCACTCTATTCCTCACCCGCACTAAGCACTGCATGCCAGAAGCGCACGCCGCAGGCGCAGGCAGCAGTCCCAACGCCCACGGCCACCGCACGCCCACGGGCACGCGCAGGCCGCCCGGCACGCCGCAGGCGCACGACGCAGGCCGCACGAGGAGGCCGGACGCGCAGCCGGACGCGCACGGCACGCCCACAGCCGGCCGCACCCGGCCCGCGCAACCCGCAGGAGCAGGCCGCACCCCGCACGCGCACGCACGCCGCCGCGCACACGCACGCAGCCGCCGCCCGGCGCAACGCGCGGCACCCAGCACGCGCACGCAAGCCGCCCGCGCACACGCACGCCGCACGCCGCCCGCTCAACGCGCGGCAACCCGCACGCGCACGCACGCCGCTGCGCACACGCACGCCGCACCCCGCACGCGCACGCACGAGGACCGCGCACACGCACGCCGCACCCCTCCCGCGTAACGCGCTGAACCCGCGAAGCGCACGCACGCCGCCCGCGCCCACGCGCTCGCACGCCGCCCGCGCAACGCGCGGCACCCCGCACCCGCACCACGCGCACGCGCACGCCGCAAACTCACCCCGCCCGCGCAACGCGCGGCACCTCACGCGCACGCACGGCCGCCCGGCGCACACGCACCGACAGCACCCGCCGCGCATACGGCGGCACCCCGGCACGCGCACGCAGCCGCCCGCGCACAACGCACGCCTAACGCCGCCCGTGCAACGCTGCGGCACCCCGCACGCGCAGCAGCCGCACGCGCACGCCGCACACGCACCCAGCCCGCGCAACGCGCTGCACCCGCGCGCACGCACGCCGCCCGCTCACCCCGCCCGGCAACGCGACGGCACCCCGCACGGCGGCACGCTACGCACGCACGCGCACGCCTCACACGTACCCCGCCCGCGCAACGCGCTGCACCCCGCACGCGCACGCACGCCGCCCGCTCCACGCACGCCGCACCTCCGCCCGCAACGCGTGGCACCCCGCACTGCTCAGCACGCCGCACGCGCACACGCAAGCCGCTACCCGCTCGCGCAACCTGCGGCACCCATCACGGCACGCACGCCGCCCGCGCACACAGCACGGCCGCACCCCGCCCGCGCAACGCGCGGCACCCGCACGCGCACGCACGCGCACGCTGCACTTCCGCACACGCACCCCTGCCGCGCAACGGCTGGCACCCGCACGGCCGCACGCCGCCCGCGCCCACGACGCGCAGCCTCCGCCGCAACGGCGTGCACCCCGCACGCGCACCACGACCGCACGCTCCACGACGCCTCACGCGCCCGCGCAACGTCGCGTCACCCCGCACGCCACGCACGCCTCACGCGCACGCCGTCACACGAACCGGCCCGCGCAACGCGCGGCACCCGCACGCGCACGCACGCAGCCCGCGCACACGCACGCCGCACGCCGCCCGCGCAACGCGCGGCACCCGCACGCGCACGCACGCCGCACTCGCACGCCGCCACGCACCACGCCCCGCACGCGCGGACCCCGCACTCGCAGCAAGCCGCCTCGCGCACACGCAGCCGCACCCCGCCCGCGCAACGCGCGGCACCCAGCACGCGCACGCAACGCCGCCCGCGCACATCATCCGCACGCCTCCCTCTCAACTCTCGTCAACCCTCACGCGCACTCACGTCCGCACTCGCACGCCGCACACGCACCCCGCCGCGCAAACGCGCTGCACCCTGCACGCGCACGCACGCCGCCCGCGCACACGCACGATCATCCGCCGCGCAACTCGTTCACCCCCACGCGCAAGCACTCCGCACTCGCACTCCTCACACGCACCCCTCCCGCGCAACGCGCTGCACCCAGCACTCTGCCGCACTGCCCCCTCTCAACGCATCGCCGTCACGTCCGCCCTCGTAACTCGCGTCACCCGCACTCTCACTCAATCCTCATTCACGCCGCCACTCACCCCTCCCTGCTCAACTCGCGTCACCCCGCACGCTCACTCACTCTCCCTCACAATCACTCCTCACTCCTCCCTCGCAACTCTCGTTCACCCCTCACTGCCACTCACTCCTCACTCTCACTCCTCACTCCACTCCTCACACGCACCCTCCCTCTCAACTCTCTTCACCCCTCACTCTCATCACTCCTCACTCTAAATCCTATCAAGCAACGCCAAATGACAAAGTACCCTTCCCAGAGTCATCATGCCTCCACTTCCCCACAACTAATGCATGCACGGGATGTTGCGAAACAAGGAAGTCGACGAAGGAAGGGCGTGCCTTAGCAATTTCATGGCGTGCTTCTGACGGCCACATGTGAATACAAACAACTATTGCATTTCCCGAGACTATGATGAGGGAAGCACGGGTGGAGGGACAATGCATACCAAGGAGGGAGCTTGGTGAACTCCGCGACGGTGGAGGGTGGAGTGAGTGAGGGCGCCATCATGTCGGTTTGTAGTCTGGCTATGTGGCCGGGGTACGACTGAAGCCACGGGTACTGTGGATAGCTGTTCGTTCCTATATACATACATTGCATACAGATACGCACATGCAATATATATGTGTGTGTGTGTAGTGTGTGTTTTATACTCTCTATAAATTATATACGCAGTATCTGTATGTATGTGTGTGCGTTGTGTGTTTGTACCTGTAATAATAACTATCTGTCTGTCTTAAGAATTCAAGGTTATTAGTATCAGATGCCGGAATTATCTCTCTAGCGTTATTTGGGTGTCGTATAAAATGTCTTTATGGCCATCGCCTCAACAGTTTATTCTACCTGCCCAAATATTGATGCAGCCCGGAAAGCGGCTGTTAGCAGTAAGCGGTAATGGCAATAATAATGGCAATAATGATGGTGATAATGATAATGATGATAAGAATAATAATGATAATAATGGAAATAATAATAATAATAAAATAATAATAATTCATAACAATAAATGATAATATAATAGTAGTAGTAATCGTATAATAATAGTAATAAACAATAATTAATAATAATAATGATAATCATAAACTGTTATTATATTATTTTTCTTATTACTATCCAGTATTGTGTTATTATTATTTGTTTATCGCCTTAGTATTAGTATCAGCATTGTTGTATAATAATCAATATCATTATAATCAGCAATATTATCTATTACACGTATAATTAATAATTATCATTGTATGATTTTGTGTTTCATTATATGATCATTATAACTGGTATTATGAGTATGATTAGGATGAGGGCTATTAAATCACTATTATTAGCAATCATTATTATTGTTGTTTTTATATAGGTTATTATTACTATTATTATCATATCATTATCGTCATATCCTTATCATTATTGATATATTAGTAGTATATTATGGTCATTATTATTATTCATGAGTATTAGTATCAGGTTGATTATTGTTATCACGTCATCATCGTCATTAGTCATTATCATTGTATCATATCAATATCATT